CTCTGCAAACCCTCTCCAGTCTCTACTCTCTTTAAAGCGCTGATATAAATGCCCTATCAAGTAAGAGGCGTCTTGCAACAAATACGGGGGCACCAAACTCTTCCGCACGCGAACAAGACCTAAGAAACACAAACATTCAAAGCAAACAAACTGGAAGTAAATATATAAATAGTCTCTAAGTTTATGCGCCTAGGGTATGGGGATTACTGTTGTTAGGGTTTACGTTCTGAGGGGTCTTGTTTAGGGTTTAGGGCTTAAGGGTAGGAGTTGCTATCAAATTTGCTGATGCACACCACCTCAATTAACTTAACTCATTTGCCAGGGTTTGAAAGACTAACAGTAAGGCTTTAGGGTTTAGGGTGCAGGGTTTAGGGTTTAGGGTGTTCAGTGCTTACCAGAGAAGTCCTGTCTTCTACAGTACAGATACGACTTCTCTGCTGCTTCCTCGTGGAGTTTAATTTCTGAATGCAATAAAGCATAAATATAGATAAACACAAGACATAATTCAAACGAACAAATGCTTGAAACTCTAAATCATAAACCCTAAACCTTACAGCCGTCCTTGGCACAAACAAACCCGCAATACGTACAGCTGAAACCCACAGCAAGATATATATATATATATATATACATATATACATATATATACGCACCTTTTGGAGAGGGTTTGACGCATTTGAAGACGATGTTTTTGAAGGAGAAGACTCTGCCGTCTCTATATACCCCATGTTGATTAACAAGATGTCTTTCTGCTTTTGCATGGGCACTGGCGAGCCCAAATGCTTCGGTTCTATTAATAATAACTTGCCAGAAGTGTCCATACACCCTATCCATATCATCCCTCAAGCATGTACAAATGTTCTGAAGACGATGCTCGCTTAAAGGAGCTTGATATAAACTCTTTGCATTCTGCCAAAGGTGATAAGACACCCCAGGGTCTTGAAACGACTGTTGACGCTCCACATGAGAAAACGCTGAAAAAAAGCAAACAACACAAACAAAAACAACGAAAAGCAAATAACCAAAAACAAACAACAGAAGAAGAAATAACATAATATATACTTTAATATATATATATATATAGTTAGCATCATGAGATCCAGGTGCACACAGTAGACCAAAGTTTTTATGTCTTTACATTTTTGTTCATTCAACTCGAATTCTTTGCCTAACCACACCCTCATTATCCTGTTGATATATTTAGTATGTGTATGTTGATGCACTATATAATGCATTTAAAAACAATGTGTAACATATATATATATATATATATATATATATATTACAGGAAAAGGATTTCATGGGTTTCGTCGTAGTGAGCGCAAGCAAGGAAAAGATTATTTTTTCTGGTATATATATTTATTTGATTAGCTAAAAATATTTTCTTGTTGCGGCGTATGCACAGCTTAGTGGATGATGTTTATACCTTTTTCTTTAATTCGGCGTTCAATAATCGGTCTTTTGTGTTTTTCTTTGATATATTCAACCTCAGGAGGAAAGAACCCTTCATGCTTCATCTCTATCCCTCGCATGCTATCCCAGGACTTGTACATTTGCAGCACTTTCATTGCAAGCTTTTCTTCTTTTGTTAGTTTTCTGCTGGCGCGTCTCTCTTGCTGCTTCAGCTGCTGCCGCTGCTGCCTCTCCAACTCCCTCTTCTTCTTTTGCTGCTGTGCATAGTCAACACCCTGCAGCAACGCCTCCGTAAAACCAGGAGACAGATCCAACTCCCCGTGCTCTACCAGCGTCACTTGTCTAAGGACAAAACGAACAACAAAAACACACAACAACAAAAACACCTCGTGAATAGTCAAGCATACGTGTGCATGCATGCATACATGTTGCAATTATCTCATGCATGCATGCATGCATGCATGAGACTATTCATGAAAACACCAGGCGACGCCCCCCTCATTAGTCACATGCATGCGTGCATGCAATTATGCATGCATCCATGCATGCAAGGACTAGAAAAAGGAGCTTTATTGAAGAGCCAAGCAGCAAGCCTAAATAGCCTCACCGCCTACAGTGCGCCTCTGCACGTATGAGGGAAGGAAGAACTTCTTCTAAACTTCTTCTTATTAGAATTCGTTTATATGCCGCCTCGACGAACTCAACCAGAGGGCGAAACGCCAACATCTTCTCTGCCTGCAACGTCTCTAAAGCACGAGCCGCCTCAGCTTTCAGAAACACCATTGTCTTGCCAACCTAAAACACATAAATCGCAACTAAGTACCCTCTATGAATACCAGTAACGTATAATGTACAAGCACCTATATATATGCACATATATATATATATATATATATGCATATGTTTTAGCTTTTGTTCATCTTGGGTACCTTTATAAATATAAAAGCATGTACATGCATATTTATACATGCTAAACGTTGTAGAATATTCAACAAATAGATTAAATAGGTAGCAGTACGTGGAGACGGTGCTGGATAATATCATATTCATGAACAATATTTATCTTCTGGCACTTACAACAAGTATAATAATTAGCATAAAAACATATTTTTAAAACTACCTAATTTGTGTGTTTCCTCACCGCCCATTCATCAGCCGCCAGGCCTGAGGCCTGCAGCATTTGAATTGCCACTTCTTTTCTGTCTGCTTCTGAGTTGGCTGCACCGAGTTCAAGCCACCGAAACCTCTTAACAAATTCATGGAAGGGCCTTCTAAAAGAATACCCAATCTGCCGCAGCTGCAAGGCCTCCAGGATAGACAAAGAAAACAGCTGATTCAGCACCTTTGGTGCGTCCCACTCCAACGGACGCTTCGTTTCGTTCGGCTTCAAACAACGAATAAAGTGAGGCTCCGTCTCCTGCAGCAACATATCAACCCTAAACTTTAAGCCCTAAACCCTAAACCCTGACAATAACCGCCATATCGCACGCGCCCTTGGTTACTCTGCGAGCAAATACCTAAGATGCCTTTAGGGAAGGCTTTTCAGCTTTTATTCTGCTGAGGACAGGTGAATGTTTATTGCTGTACAAAAGATTCGTTTCTGCTAATTGCTGTGCAGGCAGTTTGTTCCTGAATGAGTTGGCTGTCTTGTGCTGCATAAAAAGAAAGACAAGAAATACCCGAATGAGGCCGATCATAGAGCTCAACGAGCGAAGAAACTGCGAAGCAATCAAAGACCCTTTTCCGATCTTCCCTGCTTCCACGACAACATCTTCAAACATGCCTGCCATGACGGCGTTCGGGGAGGCCTTGAGTACATCGAGGAGTTCTTTCTTCAATATATCCTGGTTCTTCTCAAGGAAACCATCACAAGAATACTCAATATCCGCTATTGTATGACGCACTACAAACTTTATCCGCTGGTCTCGCCGAGAAGGAAGCACCACTCCGCGGCCTCCCAACTTGCGAACGATCATACCGCATAAAGCCTGCAGAAAGCGGAAACCAGGGAGCAGAGACAGAGCATTAAAAAGGATATGTTAAAAATAATATATTAATAATACTGGGTTGCAAAGAACATGACGAAGAGGACACAACACAGCTTTTGCGCAGCAGAAGGATACAACATCCTGCCCTGGGTTGTAACCGTTCAACATGGAAAATTCACCAGGAAACTGAAACAGCATCACCAACCCCATTTAAGTGCTTCTCTTTCTCTCTCTCTCTCTCTC